GGTATGAATTATCACTAGTAAAAATTGTTATTTAAGATATCATGAATTCCTTTTTGGATATGTGCATAATTTAATGACGATTGCAATTCTTTATGAATGTTTATGGCGGATAGACGACAAGGTACAGAGCCCAAAAGAGAATGGGCACATTCGATTGCCCTCTCATGAAAATAAAACGCTCCTGTAGGCTATTTTTAATCATTATTTTGTTTTCATTTTGGCAGAGGCTACTTACACTAACTCCGCCTACCAACGTGTGGTAGTGTTACACAACACTGCAAAAAGACTTTGACTAACCGTCAGCTTCAGTGGCGCAGATGGTAGAGCACAAAGTAGTTGTTTTTTGACGCGACGGACCCGAGTTCGATTCCGTTCTTCTCCCTTTTCACATCCCGTATCACATCGGAAAGACATATATTTTCAATAAAAATGAAGGAAATTATCGAAAAGTGGAAAATAATGTGTGGATATTGGTTAAGGTTAGGGCTAGTTGTAGGGCGGCATCCATTTATAATTATATAATTTACACCCCCAGGATATAAATTATTGATATCAAGAATAATATTTTTTACTAGTTGAAATTAATTGCTGATATCAAGAATTCAATTTCTGCGAGTGATGTCATTGTTGATATCAAGAATTAACAGTGTTACTAGCGGAAATGTAATTACTGATTTCAAAAATAGCGATTGTTACTAGTAGAAATCTAATTCCGGATATCAAGAATTAACATTTTAACTAGTAAAAATTGAATTGTTTATCAAGAATTGATATCCTGAGAATGAATAAAAGTCAAAACGGCTTGCCATAATTCATAATCAGCCTGACAGTCGTGTAGTGTGTTCTCAGCTTTAACACCAGGCACTCGCAAGACTATTTAGATTATGAAATCCATAATTTTTCCAAGTCCTCAGTTCAGCCTCGGTAACATGATCCTGCTGCATCTATGGTAGTCTCATCTGGCAACTCTGCGGTTGCTATTATTGGTCTTTGCTCGGCCGTGTAATGAATTCGGTTTTCTGGTTCTTACCGGTTGAAGCAGACAGCAGATCTCCCCCTTGACCTTTGAATGCATTAGGTAATGATGCTCTCGTTTATCAGGGTTAGCGAATCATTGTCAACCCATTAATAAATTGTGTGGCTTCCTAGAAAATCAACTGGTAATTTTGTAGAGGGGTGGCCATTTAGACACTTTATACATTGCTTATAAAGCCCCGTTCACACCAAGAACGATAACTATAAAGATATTAGCATTCACACCAGCGGATAATATCGTCTGTTTATTTTAACCACATACTCGTCTGCCGCTTTAAATTCTTGACCTTGTTACAGCAGTATGGATTCTGATTCGGTGTCAATTAGGGCTGCACAATTAATCAAATTTCTAATCGTGATTACAATTACAGATGCCACAATTACGTAATCGTTCAAAGCGGCAATTAATCGTTCAAAGTCCACTTATGTTATTCTGCGTGCTTAAGATGTGTTTTTTTCTTTCTACAGGTTATCTTAAGGGTTTTTCCATTGTTTTAATTTTAGTTTTAGTATAACATAATTATACCATGCATATTTTTTTTTACCTTTCTTTATTTAAAGAAGAAACCAATCCAATGTATAATTGAATTTTGATGCTTAATACAATAGAAAAACAAAAGTTTTTCAGTTAGTGTTTTTATTTTCATATCAAAATATGGCATACAGTTGCTTCAAACAATGGTATAAACATAATTTAGTGTAAATTGTGATAATCATAATTAATAATCGCAATTACAATTTCAAGGAAATAACCGACAATTATGATTTTTGTCATAATCGTGCAGCCCTAGTGTCAATGTTTGCATCGCTCATCAGCTGGAAAAAATTGTTCTGAAAATTATTCCAACGGTATTGTTTCTGTGTACCTTTATTATTTTATTAACTTTATTATGTGCCATTTATAGCTATGGTGTGGACTGTGCTATTCTTTGATATTGAGAATGATTTTTAGAACTATATCTTTATAGTTATTAGGGCTGTGCGATATTGAAGTAAAATGCGATATGCGATACCTTGTTAAAAAATGTGATATTCGATATGCGATACGATATTGCTTAAAGTGTGTAAAATCAATTTCAATTATATTTTAAAATATTTAAAAATGTAAATTATATGACCAATTTTTCACATTCTTTCTTGGAATGTTGAACTTTTTGTCCAAACAATGAAAGTCAATGGGGACTAAAACATTATTGACTTCTATTGTATCAAAAAAAAAAAAGAAAGAAAAAGAAAGAAAAAAAAGAAATACACAATTTACAAGCATAGATAATATAAACAGTAGCATTCAGGTACAGAAATTTAATAATTAAAGGGGTCATATGATGCGACTTCTGTTTTTCCTTTCTCTTTGGAGTGTTTCAAGCTCTTGGTGCATAAAGATCTGTAAAGTTGCAAAGACCAAAGTCTCAAATCCAAAGAGATATTCTTTATAAAAGTTCAGAGTTAACCACGCCTACCTAAAAACTATTGACATCATTCTGTGTGTATGTGTCTGTTCAAACATGAGGAGATGCGAAAGACGAATCAACTCTGTGTTCGCGCGCCGTCTGAAACGCGTCTCTCTCTGTGTGTGTGTATGCGCGCGCTTTGCACGTGTGGGGCAGAATTGAAGAGACGCTGCGCGAGATGAGGCTTGTGCGCGCGCTTCAGGTGTGAGTGAAGGCCCTTTCACCCGGGACGCCGCAAGCGGTGGAATTGCCGCGCGGCTGCCGCTTTCTCTTTTAGTGAAAGCGTTTTGTGCAGTGGTTTCGCTGGCGGAGCGCAAGCGGTGCTCGTGCACCCAAAATCCTGCCGCTTCCACGGGCACGGCG